GTATATTCCATGGGCGTTGCTGCAATACCTGTATAAAAAGGGAATATATTGGCCATGCCCGCACAATTTTTGTAGTGTAGCAAAATTTAATTTTTTTTCAGTAGCTCTGTAACGCGCACAAGCAAGCTTCAAAACCCCTTTAAAGTATATAAATTTTTGACCAGATTCCAATTCGGAATGCACCTAAACATGTTCGCTTGTTCATCGGTCGCTCTATCAAACTGCGTTCGCCCGTTTGCAAAAAAGAAAATATTACCGACAAATGTACAAAAGAATTTGAAAACAGTCCAACAAGTCAAAGGACACGCCTATAAGATCCTCATGTCTCTACAAACAAAACGGAGAACACCTTTGGTTTCGTTGTCCCTTTCTCATTGCTCGTAAACTACGGCAGATGCAAAATATATATAAAAATTTCCACTTCTACAAGAATATCAAAAGTCCATCCGCGCCCACCCAATATTACGAAGTATGCAAATTTCGGTTTAAAAAACAATTTTTTTTTATTTTGTCTGTCATGTAACGACTTTTACAAAGAAAAACATGTTCTAAAAGTGGTTCAATCCAATCTATTTTCAATGGCATTCATTCTTAGGTCACTGTAGGCAACTTAGGCAGGCCTAGCAGCCAAATCCATGGCTTCTCCAAATTTAGTTACAAACCAAGATTGATTTTGAAATATACATTAGAAAAACAGAAGTATTGTAGACGGGGAAAGTCGATTCTTAGATACCCTACACCATTTCGCTTGTGCAGGTGTTCTTTCATTTTGGTGATAATACCCCAAAAGTTATACAAAGGCATGCTTTTCATGAAAACCCGCCCGACGCTCGAACATCGCATGATGAAAATTTAGCAAACCTAACCTACTACTTACAAAGTTTATTATTTTTCAATTTCCGTCATAAAAAACTAGAAATTAAATCCTTTGCCTGTATAAGGTCCTGTTTTTCATGATAGCCTCAATACTAAAGATAGACTTATGTGAACCAAATTTCTTACCGTTGCTTCTATGGCCAATTTTCATCACAAAATATAAAAGATTAAACCTTTTTCTGAAGAATTTACCACTCATAAGAAATCTTATATGAAGGAAGGTCCATGGAAGAGACTCATGTGGTTCAAATTTGATCCAGGTATTTTTCACGTCAATTTACTATTATGAGCAAATTTTCATCATAACACGTTAACAATTAGGTCTTTTAAGGCATACTATATAGGTTTATACTCTCTTAAGTACGGAGGTACATAATGAATAGGCTTACGTGGTCCACATTCGGTACTGTACTGATTGCCTTGTCAACTTACTATTACGAACAAATTTTCACCATAAAATTTTGAAAATTACGTATTTCTGTCATATAAAGATTCAGGTTTCGTAGGAACAGTTATATGAGAGAGGGTTCAAAAAATTACCCCAGCCGAACAAACCTTTTCATACAAATTTTATATGTCAAATTAATAATACTTAGCGAGTTTCTGTCGAAAAATTTCGAATATGTCGCTGTTTTTGTTTTGATAAGTCGTTATATGATGAGCGGTCGGAAAGTTGTCCGTATGATTCGTTCTTGTGTCAAAGCACCTCAGTGTACCATCTTTCACCAAAATATCTCATTAATTGTGACCTATAGGTTGAAGGCAAATTTACATGGGCAGATATCAGGTGGATAGAGGGGCAAACAAGCTTAGGTCAATTGAGAAAACGACCCTTAATGGGTGGGTGGGTGTAGCTTAAGCCGTTTTGCATGTCCGAACAAACTCTTATATATCCTGTACCACTGGTGGTGAGGAGTATAATAAAATATTTAGTAAAATTTTGATAAGAATAAGGTAGAATTTGTGTTAACCTAATTTCCCATGAAACCGTGAAAACTCAGAAACACTTACAAAGCAAACAAAACAAAATAGAAAAGAGAACTGACACGAACATGAATTTTAAATTAATTTTTTGAATGTAACTTACGAAAACATATTTTTAATATATATATTATGTGTGTACATAAATACGTGCATATAATATTGCATTCGTTGTTATACATGAACCACTCGTAGCAATAAAAATAATTTTCAAAAGATAAATACGTGAAAAACTGGAAAAAAATCACATGAAAAACGTTTTATTGCATTCTTTACATTCAATAAAAATTGAGTATAAGTGGTAAAGAAGAAAAACCTGAAAAGAGGAGTCAAGGAATAGAAACTTTCCTTGTTATGGAATAAAATGCAAACCCAGGTGTTCCATATGTTAAATGTAATGACAATTTAAGCATAAAGTAAAAAGTGAAAAACCCAAGTGTTTGTTCTTATTGTTGCGTTCGTTTCATCTTGAAAGTAAGTAGAAACTAAAAGATACGTAAAAATGATAAAATATTACAAGATTGAGGAGAGGAAAGTGTATAAGGAACTTATCAGCCAAGAAGTGTATGTGTACTCAGGCATAAATGGTGAAATTCTTGCAGCAAATCAAACTCAGTTACTTTTTCTAGCTTTAGTATATATATTGCAAGAATGAAAATCTCTTGTTGTTAAGCTTGAGATACGGTTTTTATAGTTGTTGAGATCGGGTCCAGTAAAAATTACAAGATTGTAAATCTCTTTATATTGAGGTTATGTTCGAAATCCATAGTTCTTAAAATTCGTTCAAAGTAAGCCTTAAAAATTTGTAAATTTGTTTATGTTGAGGTTGAGATAAGATTCCTGTGAACGCCGTACGCATTACAAGTTTGCACAGTTTTTTATATTGAGGTTATGTTCGATCTCTACAATTGTTGGGATCGGTTGGCAGTAAACATTACAATATTGTAAATGTCTTTACGTTCAGGCTATGCACGAGTTGAAATCGGATCGCAGTAAACATGGCAAGATTGTAAATTCAATTATGTTGAGTTAACGTTTGATGTCTGCAGTTGTTAAAATCGGATCGGTCGCACCCGTTAAGAGATTGTAAATTTCTTTATGTTAAGGTTATGTTCCATCTTTATAGTTGTCAAAATCGGGTCGCAGTAAGCAATGAAAGATTGTAAATTTCTTTATGTTGAGGTTATATTCGATCTTTATGGTTGTTAAAATCGGATAGCAGTAAACGTTGCAATATTGAAATTCCCCTTATGTTCAGGTCATACACGGTCTCTGCAGTTACTGAAATCGGCTCACAGTAAACATTACAAGATTGTAAATTTTTTTTTATTGAGCCTTTGTTCGCTCTCTATATTCGTTGAAAGTGAGCCGCAATCAATTAGACTTTTATTATAACTGACAGAAGTAATGAATGGTCAGCATGGGACGAGAATTATTTTGCCCATGAAAATCTTTCCAATAAAGATTTAAAAAATTCTATAGTTTCGAAATATACGGGTTATTAGGAACTGGATCAAAGATAAAGCCCTGCAGTTTAGAAGCAAGCCTAGTAACTCTTTTGCCTGTTAGAAGGTAATATGAGTTCGCGTAGGAATAAATGGCTCTTCCGAGAACTTATATGAGTCCTATAAGAACCATTGCTCGTAATTGTATAGGAGTATTACGACGAAATAGTAATAATTAAATAAATCAAAATTTGGGGTGAACTAAAAAATGCATTGAGACTTCTTAAGCCAAAAATGTAAACGTGAACTGAATTGCTTTCTATGATAGAAGAGAACAACATGAATGGAAACAATGATGTATATAAAAATATATATATTGCAAGGTTGAATAAATTTTTGTTGCTTTACAACCTAGAACGTAATTACTGTTACAGGGTGAATCGTCAGTTGTTAATTTGCTGAATTTTAGGAAAAAGAACAGCAACAAGGAAAGAACAAGAAGTGTAACAGCGTGTTGACTATAACTTTGATTAAGTCATCTTAACCTAATGCTTTTAAACTTTATACATAAGCATCGGTTACTTAAGTCACTAAAGCCTTCTCAACATAACAATTTGTTGCTGCTTTAAATATGTCGGGCACTATGCCAGAGAAAAAACCTAAACACCATCATGCATCAATTTTCTTTCTTAATTGCCAGCATATTAGTAGTCGATGGTGTCGGTTGATAAACATTGAACGCGAAACGACAGTTAAAATATGTACAAATAATCATGAAACAGATGTAAAGGTTAGAAAGGAACTAAGTAAGAAAATTATATTCAGTTCCGATTGAATCTTTTATACCCATCACCGTCATCCCATACAAGGCCTTGAAAAAAAAAAAAAATATATAAATATACGCACTCTATAATATTGGGTGGGGGTGCCTGATTTTTTATATTCTCCTGGAATAACTTCGTAGAAATCATGTGTCTGTTGTAGTTCAAGAGCAACGACCAAAAGACACGAAAAGTAAAGGTGTTCTCAGTGTTAGTTGTAAGGGCATATGGGCTTTGCAGGCGTATCCTTTTCAAACTTCTTTGCACATTTATAGGCGATATCTTCTTCTTTGATGAGTTGTAGAGCGAATTGTAATCAATAGTGTAATCATTAATATTCAATTATTGCTATATAAAATAAGCATAGGTAAGCATGATGCTACATCTAATGACGATGATATATCTAAGCTAAATATGTTATACCCACTATAGGTAAAATTACACCCGAACATATGGCCCCGAAGTATTACTAAATTACGTATTTAGGTATAGTATATATACCGCAACAAAGCAGCCATGCAGAAAGACCATCTTTACCAGTAAGGTTCTAATTCATCTTAGGTTGAGATCGCTTAGATGCGCTTTTAAGCATAGGAAGTTTTATTTTATTGACACTTGTTGTTAATAACGCCGGCGAATTTGGTTAGCTAGAAAATTCTGATGTTCTGTGGTGGGTACGCGAGATTCGGTCCCAGCCGAACATAACTTCCTTACTTGCTTTTACTTGTTATAAAAAAAAAAAATTAATTTCATATCAATTTTCGTTGTAACAATTTTGATTTATTCAGTATTATATTTTACATATTGCAGTAGCATACAATATTTTTTCTCAGATAGCAATTCAAACGCATAAGAGTTTTTTTTTGATATTAAAAACAAAATGAGTAAAATTGGTATTAACGGTTTTGGCCGCATAGGGCGCATATTTTGTCGTCTTTGTCTGCTTAATAATGCAGAAGTTCTGGCCATTAATAATCCAGCGTTATCCCCGGATCAAATGGGTTATTTATTGAAGTACGATTCGATACATGGACGTTTAAATGTAGAGATTGAAAGTGGCAAGGATTGTTTAGTGGTTAATAAGAAAAAGATCACATTAACGAAAGAGAAAGATCCGAAGAAAATTCCCTGGACAGGCGTTGAATGCGTGGTCGATTGTTCTGGCGCCTTCACCACAATTGAAAAAGCGTCCGCACATATACATGGTTCAGTGAAAAAAGTCTTTCTTTCATATCCGTCAAAAGATGCCCCGATGTTCGTGTGTGGTGTGAATTTAGATAAATATAAATCAGATATGAAAGTGATTTCAAATGCTTCATGCACAACGAACTGTTTAGCACCGTTAGTCAAAGTTATTCATGATAACTTTTGTATAGAAGAGGGATTAATGACAACCATACATTCTGTTACATCTACTCAAGCTGTGACGGACAATGCTAGAAAGGATTGGCGTAGTGGCCGTAGTGCCATGCTCAATATTATTCCAGCTAGCACTGGCGCAGCCAATGCTATTGGTAAAGTAATTCCCGATTTAAAAGGCAAATTAACGGGTATGGCTTTTCGCGTACCTACGGTCAATGTGTCAGTTGTCGACTTGACAGTACGTATACAAAACGGAGCCAATGCTGACGCAATTAAAGAAAAAGTTAAGGAAGCTGCCAATGGACCAATGAAGGGTATTCTAGAATATACTGAAGATATGGTAGTATCCTCGGATTTTAATACATATTCGATATCCTCAGTATTCGACGCTGGTGCTTCTATAGCTTTGAATGATAAGTTTCATAAGCTAATTGCGTGGTATGACAACGAGTACGGTTACTGTAGCCGTTTACTAGATTTGATAAATTTTGCACAAAAGAAGGATAGTGAAGCAGATGGAGGAGGAAAAGAGACAAAACACAAATGCGAATAAAAATCCAAATATTTTATTTTTCATCTCCAAAATTGTCACGTATTTTGCTACGTCATGTCTATGGCTACTTTTTAAAATGTCGTTATTTTCATTCGCCAAAAAAACCAACTTATCTTTTGGAAAATTAAAAACCTATTCTTTCTTTCAATTGTAAAGTTTTTCTATTTACTTGAAACTCGGCCGAAAGGATTCATCTCATTAAAATGTACGGAAGAAACAATAATAATTTCTTCATCATCGGCTTCGATGATTGTATCGTCTTCTCCCTCTCTAACTGTTATGTCGTCCAAGGTTTGCGTTTTTATGCGATTCCTTATTATGATGTCGCGTTTTGCGGGAATTTGCAAGTATAAATGGATGGTAATTATTTCAAATCGCGTCCTTGTAAGCCCAAAGTTAAAATTACTTTTAAATGTTGCCCTGGCGTCAAGTCTTTAGACGGTTGTAAATGACAAGTTGTCACGCGTCCGCTCATAGTGGCTGGTGGGGGCTTTAAACGTGATGGATCTAACAGAGATGGAATTTTATTCGTTTTCTCGGGAGTGCGAGCCGGTGAACTTTTACGCGAATTGAACGATCTCAATTGTTTGGGTCTGTTTGTATAACTAATAATTCCGAATAGGCGGGCAACTCGCTAAGAAACAACTTACGCTTCAATTAACTTTAGTAGCATGCAATGAAATGATTGGTATTCGCCGCTACCAAATTCATTGGGATCATGACGGGCATACTCGTACGTATCACAAAACTGATGAGTCGTACGTTGACTGACCACATTCAGCGTAGCTGGCACAAGTGGTCAATAGGAAGGCCCTTAAGCTATCGTAGGAGTGGCAAGCAGAGCCATCTTGTTCTGCAAATTTTCAAATAAAACAAATTCAAAATTTACGCAGTTACTTTTTCAAGCTCGCCCAATAAGATGGACGGACTAACAGAGGGACATGCTTAAGTGTATTTAGAAATTGAAATTGGCCAACAATTTACATACTTTATGTGGGTGGTTTTGGAAGCTGTTTTCTTCTCGCTATAAAAGTATTAAAAAAATAAATTTTGTTGCACTATAATATTGGATAGGCGCGGTCAATTTTTTCCAAAGGTACCACACCATCGCTCATACGTGCTTACTCTTGTACGCTTATTTGCTGTAATTTGCAGCTAATGAGCAAAAAACCAAACTTTTATTCCATTTGAAAAATAGGCGTGTTGTCAGTTCGCACGATACTGTAGGCGTGTTGGTCGGTTAATTTGTGCAATCCAATGTTACTGCCAAATTTGAAGTCGTTAGCCTAATTTTTGCGGCCAGAAGAATGTTTCCAGCAGACAGTGCACAAATGGACAGACGGCCATATATCAATTCAGAATTTGATATTGATGAAGGCTATGTATATATTGTGGAGTCACTGAAGCTTCCTTCTTGGGCGACAAAATGAAAATACTCCTCATTCTTCGGCAACGGTTATAAAAAGGAGTCCATGATAACCTCGTGTGTGTTTACTTTTGAAGAAAACAAATTGGGGGGGATTAGAAAGAATATTGTCCAACTCTTTGAGGGAGGAGGGAAAATAGGATGACCAGAAGACTAACAAACTGACGAAGAGGAAATTCGGTTGCAAAAGTTTTACAGGTTTAAGTAAGCGAAGAGAACATTTGAAGCAAGTAAGAGTCATTTGTAAGCAAAGAATAGGGATTTCATTATTTTTCGACTTAAGGCATCACGTAATTAATAAAGGCCAGACCTTTCCATCATATTGTTGAGTGTAAATTATAAAGCATTCCCATATATATATTTTTCCCTTCTGTAAAATTCTTCAATGCCTTGCTCCAGTTCTCTTTCATATCTTCGATAAGTTTGTTTTTGCCTTTTACTTTTTCTTTAATAAACATATATGTTTCTTTTTTTGTTGTTGGCATGATTGCGTCTATCCGCAAAGCTGGCAAAACCTGACATCATTTATAAAATTGACGCAATTCTATATAGAGTTGCATTTACACTCTTCTGTATAGAACACCACAAAAAATACTTTAACAGTAACAGTAATTGAAGGAATTGAGAAAACAAAACAGTCCAAGTAGTTTTTGATAATGGCAGCACAATCCAATACCACTATAGTTCTTTTATTAACAAATAAAAAAGCTGTAGTGGACCACGGCTTACTACCATAAAGTTGTTCATAAAACAACTCTTTAAAATCAGACATTATGTGGTCAAAAAAAATGATCCGATCCGAAACATTTCCAATAGCGTTCGTCCATGGCCCAATAAAACGCCAGCTTTCGAAATCTCATCAAATCTTAAAAGTTGTAAGCTGTAGGTTGAATAAAGGAAAAAAAGGAGGACAGATAGACAGACAAACCTATCTTGCAGAAAAGCAACACGCTGTAATTCGAGCTTTAACTTAAATCTTATTTGTTTTTATAAATAACGTTACATGTTAACTTGTTGTTGATGTTACATATTAAGTTTCTATGGTTTGTCGCTCCGTCTGTCTGTCTGGTGCAATTTTTGATATATTTTGATTATACTTGGTACATAAACGTAGTTTGGTCCAAGCAAGAGCCCTATCAAAAATGGGTCGGATCGGTCCAGTCCAGAATGATAATCTGAATCGATCGGTCTCGCCATAATTTAAAATTTAACACACATTGTCGGGTGAGGCTGACATTAAATATTCTACACCACATTGCCTGACACAATTCCTATTTTTATATGAAATTAGTATTATGGTTCAATTTTCGTCACCGCATGTTAAAACTTAGACTTTTCTGCCCTACAAAAGACCAATTTTTGTGAAGTGCTTATTAGGATAAGATCCAAAAATAGGCCGAGATTGTCCAAATATGGTACAACTTAATCTTTTAACTTTAACGACTATTATGCTTCGATTTTATGGACTTTACTTTTTGTTATATGAGAAGGGGTTTAAAAATTGCCACAGCCGTTCTAAAATTCTCTTACCAAGTTAGAATTATGATATACTACTACTTAGGCACTTTTAGCGAGAATTTTGAAATTTACAATTTTTTGTATATATCAAGTTTTCAGAACAGGGTGTTAACTGGACCGACCCGAACCATTTTCAATAGCGCTCGCCCTTGGGTCAAACTGTGTTTGTGTATCAAAATTCATCAAAAATTGCATCCGACGGACGGTTAGACCGACAAACAGAGAGGTTTAGAACGATTCAGATTATGATTCTGAATCGATCGGTGTAATAAAAGGTGTATCTATCTTAACCCCTTCTCCGTATTGCCTACGTCCACACTAACTTAACATACCTCGTACCGCACTAACTTAACATACCTCGTACCACAAGTGGTGTAGGCTATAAAAATTGTTAAATAAAGAGAGTAGCGAAGTAATTAAATGAGTATAATAGTTGTCACCGATATTAACTATGCGGGTAGGTTCGGTTGCAAATGGACGCCAGGTATGAAACATAAATTCTCCTGTAAGAATTCCTGGGTTGCCAAGGAAGAAACCCCCGCAACTAACTTTAGTCCTTACACATCAGTTCATGTCTTGTCCTGCCTCTCCAAGACTGACTTTTGCTATTTTTTGATGCTTTACAACAATTGTATTAAGCAAAGTGATGTAGGATATCTAAAAGTCGATTTTGCTTGACTTTCGTCTTCTTGCTGTTATCCAACTCTTTTAACATAATAATCGTTTACTTTCTCACGAAGAAATCTTCGTCTTTGGACCAATAAATATAAACATTTACTATTACTATGCTAAACAGTTGTTGTTGTTGTTGTTGAAAACTCTTATGTAGATATTAAAACACTTAAATATGATGATTTTGAGGAAAACACTTAAATGAATTAACATAATTTCGTATGAAAATGATAGGAAAACTCTCACACTCACCTGTAGTTTGCTGTTGACTTCCTGCAGGTATTATCGCAATCGAGAATATAAATGAAAAAATGCTAAGACGTGAATGCAATAAACCGTTTATCATTAGCACAGCGTATATGAAACAATATATTAATCCCATGATAGTATTGTGTAAAAAGGGGAAAGTGCGTTAAAACGAATATTGTGCACGAGAACAATAAGCTACGATATATAGCTCCGTTGTACTACTGTTCGCCGTCCACAGAGAGATTTCAAGTTAATGATGCTGTGAGCAAAATAACAGCAATAGGATTATTAATAGGAATAGGTTGGTCAATGGTAGGTCAATCCTTGATTGAGATGCGAATATTTTAACTTTTAATTTATAATTGTTTGTTTGTCTATTTGTTTTTCCTTTTTTTATGTTGCATTTGATTTCATTGTATGTTTATTGTATATAGAAAATAAATTGCAAAATTTTTATTAAATATTTGTTTGTTTTGATCAAAAATACTTGAAAGTGTATTTTTATTATAATATTTTATGAGAATGCGACAGCAAAAATTTTGTATAAAATAATTACAATAGTACACACTTGTCGACATGCGAATATTAGTCTATGTTTAATTAAATTTTTTAATTAAGTTTTATTTGTTGCTTTATTGGTTGGTTTATTCTTATATTGGCATTAAATACATTTATGGTTTCCGTTATTGTTATTACTATTATTTAACTTTGTTGCCTTTTTCCTATATCGATGGAAATACATTTTCATTATTATTGTTACTATTATTTTGCGGTTATTTGTTAAAAGTTTATTTGTTTATTAATTCAAAATTTATTCCTTTTTATAACCGCATGCCACAAAAGTAATTAATAAATATAAGCGAAAATATCGCCAAAATATATTTAATTAACAAAAACATGTAATTGCGTACATAAATGCCAAACAATGTTAACACCACCTTTCACTTGTTTCAATCTCAAATTTATGAATGCTTTAACAAGTCATGCTAGTGATATATGATAATAAAATGGCTTACAATATCAAGGTAATAAAAAATTCCCATTAATTTTTGATCATACCAAAAAAAAATTCTGCGTTTTTGCTTCGATGAAAACTATTTTATGGGAAGGAGCCTAAGAACAAGAAATTCTCTGACCCTATTTTTTTTTTTTTTTTTTTTTTTTTTTTTTGTAATATAGTAGAAATTATAACTTTTTAGAAGTTTCTAGAACAACATTGTGAGATTAAAATCTCTTTACCCTTTATTTTGCAGCCGGAGGTTAAAGACGCAAGAAATTTTCATTTTCCGCTTACTTATTTGAAATTTCACACTTCGGCATCAAAAAGTTATCGTTTAGGTTTCGCTTCATACTTATATTAAGAATAGTTGAAGCAGTCATAGTAATTGAGACTATAGGCTTCACATTAAAAAGCTCGACAAGCGTTACAACTCAGAAATGGACAAGATAAATGTAGATTTTAAATTTAATCAAGGCAAAGTTTCGCGCAGGCGTCAGATTGCGAGGGTTGGACTTGAAAGCCTAAGAGGTAATGGCCATGAAATTAATGGGTGCCCACGGAGGTCAGGTTACTCAAAGATAGCTCCTGATACGAAGATGTACTACCCGTCCAACTATTGAAATGAATGCTTGCTTACCTTACAGCTGCGCCACTTAGGAAGTATTTTGGTGGCTGTGGTTACTCCAAAGTTTTGTGAGGAATTAACCAAAAGGTGTTTAGATAGGATCCAACGCATACCAATAAGCGAGAAAAAGGCTCACACTCATTTTCTATTTCGGTACAGCGTTGATTAGCACTTGTAAAGATAACTCGTGTGCCATCGGGTGTCGAGGGGCTCGGCCTTCAAGCCATCGTCAAGTCTTCATCATGTTCATTTTAGGGTTAAATATTCTGCCTCGTTTTCCTTATGCTAAATAAGGTAAAAAAAATAACATTTACTCACTTTTAACATTTTGTGGGCATGGCCGTTTTTTCTCATTTTTGTCCGTAAAGAGCGGAGTACTTCGTAAAGTAAATGTGGAAAATTTCAGAGTGAAACGAGCGAAAACCCACAAATTGTTGTTATATTGCTTTCAATTTGGGATGCGGGAGCTTCCGCTCTGACCAATTGGGCCCATTGTCAATAGCAACCTCCGTGCAGAAACTTCTAATGTTTTTACCAAATTTGAAGTCGATATCTTAATTTTTGTTACCAAGAGAGTGCTAACAACACACACCAGAGAGACTTACAGACGGATAGACATGACTTAATCAATTCAAAATTTCACGTTGATCACGAATATATGTATGAAGCTGCTAAAGTTTGAGTGTTACATACATACATTATGCAAAAAACAAAATAAGTATACCCTAAATACTTTAGTGGTGGATGTAAAAATAAAAACGTGTTTCTTGTTACTTTACTTTAAAACCGCTTTAAGGAAAAGCAAATAAGCGGGTGGCAGTATGTATTCAGACTAGTAAGATATGGTGAAAAATGTTGGGAAAGTAAACGATTAAAGTTAAACAAACAGTGTTTATTATATCCTTAAGTTTGCTTGTGCATGTAAAGCAAATGGGCAATCATCTGATGTCGTCATTTAGCTGTAGACGAACTCATCATTTAAAGCAGAAGAAGAGTAATACACTTAAAAATGTGCGGCTTTCAATTCAAACCATTAAGAATACAGCAATGCAGCAAAATAGACATCAACCACTATCCATATCCATCAAAAGCAGTTTATTTGATTTGTGCAAATAATTGCAACTCAAAGAAACGTACGTTCGTTGATCGAATCAATGTTGAATTCACAGATACAATCTTGAAATCTTTTTCAACAAAACAACTATGGTCTTAACATTTTCCTTATAATTCCCATCCGTTTAAGTTCGAAATTGAGCAATTATCAAAAAAAAAAACAAGTAAACCGAACATTAATTACCCTACACTACAGTGTCTAAAACAATTCTTTTTTTTCATATATAATGCAAAAATTATATCTTGTTTCTATATAAAGGCACATTTTTCATCAGCCTAAAACGCAACCTAATGTAGTACAAGTTTAATCCTTACATCGGGCAGGATTCAAAAATAGGCGTAGATGGTACAAGTTTCGTAGATCTAATTTTTTATTACTATTATGGGTCAATTTTCATCACCATGTATTAAAATTTAGACTTTTGTGCTCTACAAGCGATCAGTTTTCGTAACAATCCTTCCGTCTTAAGCCCTTCCGCTTATTTCATACGGCCGCGCTAACTTAATATACCCGGTACCACAAGTGGTGTAGGGTATAATGACAGTTTCAAAATCTTACTTAAGCAAAAGCCACAATATTACAGACTTCTTAGATTAGAGTTACAAGTCGACATGACTCTGTGAGGATCGAAAACTCGCCAAGTTAATGCCAGTAACCATGTATGAACATTGGCTAGTTTGCGTCAGAGCTTCCAAAGTACCATCAAATTGCTTAGAAGTGTAACGTGGAGAGTACGCGAAGCGATACACAGTTGAACTTTTTTGTGCGAACAGTTTTTATGCGATTTGGTTTTTTTGTTCCAACTGCACAAAAATAGGTTTGACCGCATTATTTCGTAGAAAAAACAATCTCACCAAACGAAACAAGCGACAAAACATCGCATAAAAAAAATCGCACAAAAAAAGCTGTCAACTGTAAGTGAGAATATATGAAGTAATAAGGTCTCAATCTTTATGGCACCGACGTATCATTCCCGAGCTAATCGAAAATATAAATAGGTTTGGTCTAAGCCATTTATAATCTCCTTCCCGATATTATACTTCAAGTGCATAGATGGATTAGGAAAATGAAAAGACAGTAAAATTTGTTAATTGTATTCAAGGAATCTTTGGTTTATTTTAGAGAAGAGCTTCTAATAAAAAACAGACAAGACTTCCTAAATGTCTCTTAGGTCTGAATCAACCTTATGTTCTTGATTGTGCTCTTTCTTCAGAAAGAAAAGTTGCTCTTAAAAAAGTAAAGCGGAAAAAGGATGCATAGATTTCATATTTCATGCTTAACCTTTCCTTTCGACAAAAGCTGATGATCGGTTTTTCTAGATTAAATATTCTCTCAACGAATTTTGAGCGAAATTAAATTTTCAATTGTAAATGTCTTCGAATTTCAAAGTGAATTTTTATAAACGAAAACTCGCATGTGACTACGTTGCTCATGCTTTCTCTGTGCTAAGGGTAGGCCATAACGAGCATTCTACCCCATACATCTAGTATAACGTTTGCTTTGTAGGAACAATGCTGCCATATATAAGCCATTACTGCAGAAAAACATATTCGTTACATAAAACTTATTTATAAATTATAAAATCAATTCATAAAGTAATTGAGCCATAATGCGTTAAGTAAACATATTTGAAAAATAAGAAGAAAACTTTTAATAATAATATATAAAAGAAAAAATAAGATATAACGAGGGAGGCTGTGCGTGTGGTTGAAGGAAACTTTAAGCAAATCCTTAGTTAAATCATATTCAAATAGCGTATGATTTCCTGAAAGAAGTAAGAATATTATAGTCGGCCAATCATTAAACACCCAACATAATATTTCTTAATACATATTTTATTCCCTTCATATAACGATTTTCCTACATAGGACGTCATCTTGGAAATGGTCGAAAAGTGTTGCGGTCCGACCTTAGTCTTTAGGTCATTTTCATTAAAATATCTCACAAATTGGGAGCTGCAGATTGAAGACATGGACGGACAGACAGACAAGCTTAGAATAAAAAGTTCATGAATGTTATATACATTCCAGAAAACCTGTGTTCGGCGTAAAAACGTTGAAAGAGTATTGTACGATATCAACATCCAGTCAGTGCAGTAGACATCAAGATACCTATTGATGCCGACGTAAGCCTGAACTCAATACGTGTGAGATAAACGAGAAACTGGCTGACCTTTAGACAGGGCAAGGACAAAATTAAGCAATGGAATTTATAAAACCATCCAGTATAGCACATAAAAGACGGTGGAAATGAAGGTGAACTAGCCTTCCTTTAGTCACTGAATCACATTACACAATGTTGGTATCTTAGATATCGATTTTTGTAGATTCTGAGAAAGCAACGACCCATCATAATTTGTAGAAATGTGCAGTCATCTGCAGAATCAGGTATTTAGCCATCAATCCCAAGAAAGTGACGGGATTTATAAGAATCATTATAAATCTTTAGAGCTAGGAACTAAGATG